AACTTTTTCACTAGGAGGGTGGTGAAACACTGGAATGCGTTACCTAGGGAGGTGCTGGAATCCCCTTTCTTAGAAGTTTTTAAGTTCAGGCTTGACAAAGCCCTGGCTGGGATGATTTAGTTGGGATTGGTCCTGCTCTGGGCAGGGGGTTGGACTAGATGGCCTCCAGAGGTCCCTTCCAACTCTGTTATTCTATGATTCTATGAAAATTGTCACAGCGTGGCTGGCCCCTTTAAGTGAAGTGGCATCAGCCCCCCTATACCAGCACAAGGTGACCTCATTAAGAGGGGAGGTGACATCTGGGACTAATAAATGAGAGGAAGACTATGGTGATCAGGCAGGAGGTCTCTGGAGGAAGTCCCAGGGAAAAGGGCTAGGAGACCAGCCAAAGGATTAGGTTGCTGACCTTTTCCAGCCAGAGGCTTGGGAACCAGGAAGAAACTTGGGAAGGACTCCAGCCAGGAGGGCTAGGGTGGCTGTTTAATGGAACAAGTGGTCTCCAAAGGAAAGCTGAGGTGTGTCATTTGACTGCGTTTCCGAACTTTTATGAACTATATGCCCTGTGTGTGAGATAAATGGTCTGTGTCTTGGGCCTTTTGAGGATTGTTTTCACTGTCAGCATAATAAACCAGCCCTGGGCAGGGGTAATGTCAAACCCAGGAGATGCTGTGGTGAGTCCTTAAGGGGCCTGAGAGGGAAAACTGAGGTGGCAATCCTTGTGTTACTACGCCCACCCACAAGGGGGTGCTTGGGGTTGAGGGGGAATAATGACAATCAGCCTGCCACTTCAAAACAAAAAAGAAGTAAAGAAAAAACACCTCAGGTTATTTGCAGGCCTCTTTCTCCATCAGGAAGAAGCAAAGCCCGGTTTTCACTAATGCAATCTGGGGCAGGGGGAGTGGAGCTGGCATTCTTTCCCAAATGTTCTGGGAACTGTACATGCAAAACCATCAGAAAACATAAGCACAATCCTAAGTTAAAGCAAATTTAAAATTAAAATGCCTACAGCGCTTAATAAACGAGAAAACAATAGTCATTACCCAGCGAGAGCAAAGCCTCGTGGTTGTTCTTCTTCACGTCCTTGTACAGCTCCTTCTGCCATTCCACTAGCTCCTCCCACTCCTCTGTGGAGAAATAAATGGTGATGTAATTGTACATGACCGGGGCCTGAAATGACAAATAAACCATGATCAGCAACGTCTCTTCAGTCTCACCCTGACAGCGGGCAGCTTTGGATCCCAGCAGGGCAGCAAGAGTGTTTCCTGCGCATGTAGCCCACACCCAGTCCAGCTGGTGCATCCCCTGTGGAAATCCCATCCTGACAGCTCACCCCTGCCACCACAAAGCAAACGTAATTTGGGATGTCCCTGGAGATTTTCCACCAAGGTGACATCAGTCCCCTCCCCAATGTCTAAGTGGTTTGAATATTGTCCGAAAGGTGTGGAGTCCCAGCCATTGAGCAGGACTTCACTATGCAAGGTGCTGTACAAACACAGAGCAAAGAGATCAGTCCCTGCCCCAAGGGGCTTACAGTCTAGGTCAGTTCCTATATGTACACCCATTCGTGCCCTGATCCAGGCCTTAATACAAGAGTATATGTTTACTACCACCATGACACAGCTCTGAGAGAGACCTGCTTTCTACTGCTGTTCAATCATCATCAGTAGAATTGTTAAGTAAGTCCCAAGTGCATTACCCGGGATCATGTAGGACCCATAAAGAGCCCACCTGATGCTCAGCTCCCAGGCAGCGTCTGCAGGCAGGAACACAACGTCTTTGTTCCATGTAAGCTGGGGGGGGCACGTTATGGGCCAACACAGATGGACACTCCGATGCACCATTGCAGAGAGGAATGGACCTTGAACAGCATTTTTGTGAGAGAGGAAAGCTTTGCTTAAAGGCCCCAGAAAGGACCCATTCCTTCCCCCTCCTGCTCCTCATCAGTAGGACCCTGCCTCTCTCTCTACTCCTGATTCCCCCACCTGCAGCATCATAGGACCCCTCTCATCTCCCAGGACCAGCTCCCTGTCATCCAGGTGGTCTGATGGTCCCTGTCCTCCAGACCTGCCTCCTTCTGGCTGATGTTGCTTGTTTGCTATGCCCAGGCTGGGCTCCCCTGCCCCTGCTGGTTCCCAGTCTGAAGGCAATATGGGTGGGGAAGCAAGACTGGGGAGTGAGGCAGGAGGGGAGCACAGACTAGCAGAGGAGTGGAACATCCCTGTGAGGGAGAAGGGCTGTTGTCATCCCAATTGGTCCCACCTCCAAGGGGCGAGAAACCCTCCCTCTTGCCCATCACAGCGTGCTCTGCCAGTGACCTAGGAGCACATTATTCCCAGGGTGACACTGCTGAGATCAGGGAATTACAACAGAGGTCAGTGTGTCCCTTGGGGATGAGCTGGTGTCTTACAGGTTAATGAAGGCGGGCTCTGGGCTGAGAATATGTTACGCTCCCTGGAGAAGTCTGGCGAAGTTAAACTGTTATTTGTAACTGTGTTGCCAACACCCAGGGGGTCAGAAATCATGAGACAGACCCCCCCAAGATCCTGAGACCAGCTTACAGATCCTGAATTTTTTTAAAAAAATTAATTTTGGTTCCCTTTTATCATTTAATTAATTATCATAGGGTCTAGGAGTCCCAGTTATTAACCCATACCCCATTGTGCCAGGTGCTGTACAATTTTATTCATCTTGTTTCTGAATCTTTAGAGGACACTGGGGTCATGTTTTCAACCTGTTCTCTGCAACCACAAAGGCTAGAAACTTAAAATGCTAGCTGAGAGTCTCACATGATGACCTGACTCCAAGAGCTGGGGCTTTGTGGAAAACCCAACTATCTTGAGGCTGACGATCAAATCACGAGCATTGGCAACATTGATTTGAGGCAAGGTGGGATTTGTACATGTGAAAGACTATTGCTGTATAGCTCCTGATAAACAGGCCAGGCTATTCAGTCTACCCACAGGCAAAAGCCTAAGAAATTCAGAGGCAAAACCCTATCTGAGCAGAGCCCGCTCCAGCATCGCCTTCTGCGATTCTCCTCTGAATGAGTCAGATGGAGGGCTTGTTCCTCAGCTGTAGCTCAATAGCCATGGAGGAATCCATGCCTCTTGCTGGGACTGTTTTCACACTGGTTTCACACTGGTGTATCCATTTCTCCTCTAACTGATAAAGCACTAACTGTCCTAAATCTCACATACCTACACCCTACCATTTGCACCAAGAGATTTGTCCACAAGGGGGAAGTAAATAACCCCCTCTGGTGCTAATGCCAGCCGAGTGTTCGCAGTGGGGCAGAGTGGGGGTCATCATGGCTCGCCTCGCCAGCCCTATTCTTGCCTCCCAGGTGACTGGACTTGTTTGCAGCAGGTTTAACTAAGAAAGTGGTAAAAATGGAGCCTCAGCTCCACCAAGGCCCCCTCCGGTGCTAATCCTGCTTTAGCTGAACCTACGATAGACCACTTTGTAAATTCCTTAGTGTAGACAGGCCCTAAGTGAATATTTAAACTGGCACACAACATATGTTCAACGTGTGTGTCACAAGAACAGGTCAGATCCCAGCAGGAATATGAACCCAGAAGCTCAAATGACATTTAAAATAATGTTTGCCCAATTTCTATCCCAAGCAGCATGTGCCTGTGCCTCAGTTTCCCCATCTAACAAAAGGGAATAATGGCACTGACCTCCGTTATAAAGCACTTGGGGATCCACTGATGAACAGTGCTATGAAACAAGTGGGTATTATTATTAAGTGACTGACACCCCCAATCCAGTCTCCTTGTACTCCAGGTGGCTTAGACCTGATTTGGATTGGAAGGACCATTTTATGATCCTCCAGTCAAGATGCTACAGACAGTGACAAACTGAGGTATAGGAAGACAGTAGGTATTTATGGTTCAGCTGACAAAATTCCCTATTCAGAGGGGAGAATTCCTGAGCCCAGTGGAACTTTATTCAGCATCTCACAGAATTGCTTGCTCTCCCTAGATTGCTGGTTGGAGACTCTTACACTCTCTACAGCTGGATGTCTTGTTTGGATGGTGGCCCAGTGCTGCCCTGCTGCATTAAACTCTGCTCCTCTCCCTCGCCAGCATCACTAGGCCATGGGCTGCCCTTCCAAGTGCCACTTGTCCCAGAGACCCATGCGAGGCCAGCTGAGCTGCTGGGGTTGGAATGCCCCCTACCGCTCACTAGCCAGAGCACCGTGAGCGAGGAAGGCGGGGGCTCCAGGGGGCTCTGAGCTCAGCATCAACTCCTGGGCATCAGAAGGGCTGGAAGGTCCAGTGCTTAAAGTGGTCTGAAGAAAGCAGGAGATCTCTCATAATCTGTGCAGGGCAGCTCTACTGGGAGGGAACTGACAGTTCTGCCCTCAGTGACCCAGTTCAGAATTTGGGTGTTTGTTTATTTACTTATTGCCAGGTTTCCAACCCCTTGGGCACCACCCTTCCCCCACCAACCTCTTCAAGCACTGAGAAAGCCCCTGAGCAGAGCTGTGCTAGGTGGAATGAGCGACCCCCCCCCTCCCCGCAAGCTCCACTAGACATGTGCCCCCAGCCCTCTTCTCAGCTAGCAGCTCTCCGGTACCCAGACCAAAGCTCCCCAGCCCCCTCTCCACCGCTGCCCAAACCCCTGTGCACCCCGTGAGCAAAGCCCCCTTGCTCCCCGGAGCCACGGGACTGTCCCTGACTTGCCCCCAGGCCAGATTCGATTCCAATACACCCGGCCAGCAGCTGCCCCCGGCCCAGCTTCCCGCTGCGGCTGGGCCCCCCCGGAACCGGAGCCAGCTCAGGGGAGGCGCATCCCAGCGTGGGGGGCTCAGGCCGGGCCGCCCTCGAGGGCACGGAGGCGGTGGCAGGTTTGTCTCCTGGCCCCAGGCTGCGATCCGTGCCCCAGAGGCTGCAGCCGGCTGGGGGCCGCTCCCGGGCCGCCGGCGCGCAGGGGCTGGCTGGAGAGGGCCGGGCAGCGGCTCTGCGCAGCGCTGGGAGCGGCGCTAAGACGCTGCGTTTGCGGGCTCGGGCCGCGCTCGGCTGCCGGCGGAGGGGCCCCGGCGCGGCTCGGAGGGGCAGGCGGGGTCCCGGGGAGACGCGCAGCGGCTGAGCTCCCGCCTCGGGAAACGGGTCTCGCTGGCTACGACCCCGAGCCCCGGGGAAGCTGCTGCCTTTGTGCGTTTGCAGCGGGCTCGGCTCTTCCCTCCTGCCCGGCGAGTGCGCGGCGGCCGGGTCGGGCTCCGCGGCGTGGGGCCCGGTCAGCGGGGAAGCTGCGATTCCGCCTCCACTGCCGAGCTGCAGCCGAGAGACCGAACCTGCCGCTGCCCAAGGAGAGGAGGCTCTGGCTGCCGGGGATGGCAGGGGCGCGCCCCGCTCAGGTAGGGCTTTGCCGTCGGGCCTCCAGGGGGGCCTGGGCTGTGGGTATCGCACTGGCTCTGGGGGCTGCTGCCGCTAGCCCAGGGGGTAATTTCCTGACCTGCCACAGACTTTCCGGGTGACCTTGGGCCGAGTCAGTGCCTCTGTGGGCCTCAGTTGCCATCTGTACAATGGCCTCATCCCCCGCCCCGCCAGCGGGGTAAGGGGGCGGGGCTGGCTTGTCAGGGTAATACACTAACGGTTGTGAAGCGCTTGGAGATCTCCTTTCGAAAAGTGCTGTACAGGAGCAAGGTCTTGTTGGTTATTATTACTGTGCCTCTTCTTATGTTCCCTGTGTAGCAAAGGCCCCTGTGCCAATGTTCCTTCAGTAGGTGGCCTCTGATCCCCACCCTAGTCTTCCCCATCCCACCCCAGCTCATTCAAGGCATTATTCGGTGCTGTCTAAAATGCTCCCCCTTCCTCTCCCTCCCCCCCAAATACAGGAGGGTGTTTTGCAAATGACAGAAAATGCACTGAAGACTGAATTATAATGCAGCCCCCATGTATCAGAAATGTCCTACACCCGCATTAATGAATCGCAGCATCTGTCATGTGAACAGCTCCGCCTGGTGGCTGCGAGGAGGTGTTCATGGGTGTTTCCTAGCCAGATCTTATCCCCCGAGTCACAGTGAAATGTTCCAGCTTGGCCCTGACAAATGATGATGGGACAAACCCAGCCGTATGCAGCTTGCATTTGCCATGGGAGTCTCTGGGACAAGACCAGGAGTGATGTAAACCCTGGTGTGAGTTACAGGTTGGATTTGCTAGTCAGCGGGGTCTAATAAACAGCTGACGTCTCAAATGCAAACATGTGGCTACTGCAGCTAGGCAGGGAGGCCCCAGGTGCTGCTTCAGCAGGAAATCGCCACCGAGACAAAGGCCAGGCTTCTGCTCCCCATCCCTGCATCCACTGCACACTGTTTCCAGGAGAGCGCTCCGGTGACAGGTGTGAGCTGCCCCGGGGGATTCCCATCCTGGGTACACCAGCAGCGACGTGTGTGGTCAGCATGTGTTACACACGCAGGAAACGCTCTCCCTGCCCTGCCAGGACCCTGAGCTGCTGCTCTCAGGGTGTGACTGAAGCAGAGGCTGCCGATCACGGTTTATTTGCTGTTTCAGGCCCCAGTCACGTTTGACGATGTCGCTGTCTATTTCTCCGCGGAGGAGTGGGAGGAGCTAGCAGAATGGCAGAAGGAGCTGTACAAGGACGTGATGAGGGACAACTACGAGGCTTTGAACTCCCTGGGTAACAATTAGTGGTCACTCGTTCATTGGAAGCTGCAGCCCCCAAATAGGAGAGCTTCAAGTCATCCTCTGTAGTGTGATTACATGAAACAAAGAGCCCTGCCTTAAGCACCAGCCAGAGAACTTGCTGACTGGGAAGTCCTTCCATTTATTAAATTCCCCCTGTAACACATCCTGGTCCTCTCTGGTGATGGTGAAGGATCAGGAAGCCTATAACCACTGCACACGGTGTACAAGAGAGCGCTCCCTGCATGCTGTGTGGTACCATTTGTGGGAGTAGAATGGAGACATTTCCTGTGTCTAGGGAGAAGTTCGGATGTAAGTGGGCCGGTGGCTGAGGCCATGGGACACACCAAATATCATTCATCCTGTACAGTAAGTGTAGGTACCTGAGTCTCCTGTGAGCTGTTCAGCTCATTTCAATCCATAAGGCTTTTTTGCCTCTGGATCTTCACTCTCTTCCCATGTAATTCATACACTGGGCTGGGATTAAATCAGGAGTGTCATTTGAAAATGGTGACAGAACAGTGAGTAATTGCTGAGCTACACATTAGGTGGGATGGATGGTCCAGTGGTTAGAGTGCTTGTTTAGAACTTGAGAGTCTTGAGTTCAGTTTCCTGCTCCACCACAGACTGTCTGGGCAAGTCACATGGTTCTCTGGGCCTCAGTTCCCCATCTGTAAAATGGGGATAACTGCCTTGCCCTGCTGCACAGGGGCTTGTGAGGATAAACACATTAATGATTGTGAGGGGCCTGCTAAGTACCTAGGATCAATAGATAATTCTCTTCTCTCATCACCAGGACATGCTGCCGCTAAACCCGACATTATCCGGCTGCTTGAATGTGGGGAAGAGCCATGTGTCAAGGGTCACAAGGACTCTGGGAATGGAAAAGCTTTTAACTTTATCTGTGAGTAATGATTGACAAACTGTTCAGAAACAATGAGTGTGCGGAACCCAGCCGCCCCTTCCTGCATGCTGGCAATTACCTCTTTGCTCCCAGTAACAAACGCAGTAACCCTTGTTACTGGCGCATCATTTTGGCAGGTGTCAGCTGTGTATCCCCATCGATATATTTCCACTCCCATTGGAAATAGCAACGGAGCTCTTAATTTTCCCTTGCTAGTGGGTGAATGGCTCTGGAGAGCAAAGTGGAGCAAAGCAGAGGCTGCTAACGTGGAATTTGAAGTGGAGTGGAGAGGGCATGTTCTTGCTTGGAGCAAAAGAAGGTCACAGAGAACAGCCACTCCTTCTTTCCCAAACTGATCTAGAACTGACCGAATTGCCAAATTGGTACAGTTTGAGAGCTCCTCCCCTTCCTAGCAAAGGACAGAGGTTGTCAATCAATGCCTGTCGGTAATGCTGATCCTATTTATTCACTGGAAGCAAATGGAAACCTTTTAACAAACCTCTGTCTGTCTCTCTCCACTTTGTTACACTGTATTAACTGTCTGGTTAGCTATGAGATAACATCAGAGGAATCCAATTAACAGGTCAGAAATGATATCTAGGATGAAATTCTGGCCTCTCTGCAGTCATTAGCAAAGCTCCTATTGACTTCCAAAGGGCCAGGACTTCACCCTTAAAGCTTAGTGAGCGATTTCAGAAACATTTGTGAGACATATTGACCCAAGAAGGGCAAAGGCAGACCTTGTGTAAGCAGCTGGAGCTGCATTAATGTTAATGAAGTTGACCCACGTCCGGTAGATCTGATTTGGGCCCTCTGCATGCAGATCATAGAATCATAGAAGGTTAGGGTTGGAAGGGACCTCAGGAGGTCATCTAGTCTAACCCCTTGCTTGAAGCAGGACCAATCCCCAATTTTTGCCCCAGATCCCTAAATGGCCCCCTCAAGGATTTAACTCACAACCCTGGGTTTAGCCGGCCAATGCTCAAACCACTGAGCTATCCCTCCCCCCTAATTGCCAAGTAGGATGTAGTTCTGGGGTGAGATTCTGACCCCACTGAAGTCAATGGCAAAATTGACTTTAATAGAACCAGGATTTCACTCCTAATTTCTACATAAATCTGGGCGGAGTTTTCCAGCTGGTGCAAGGCTGAAAGTCCAACCTCATGGGAATGCTATAGAAATAAAATGTTAATGTCATTGAAATAAACTAGGGCTGTCAAGTGATTAAAAAAATTAATCAGGATAAATAGCACGATTAAAAAAAATTAATTGTGATTAATCACACTGTAAAACAATAAGAAAATACCATTTATTTAAATATTTTGGATGTTTTCTACATTTTTAATTATATTGATTTCAATTATAACACAGAATACAATGCGTATAGTGCTCGCTTTATATTTATTTTTATTACAAATATTTGTACTGTAAAAACCAAAAGAAATAGTATTTTTCAATTCACCTAATACAGGTACTGTAGTGCAATCTCTTTATCGTGAAAGTTAAACTTACAAATGTAGAATTATGTACAAAAAATTCATTCAAAAATAAAACAATATAAAACTTTACAGCTTACAAGTCCACTCAGTCCTACTTCTTGTTCAGACAATCGCTCAGACAAACAAGTTCATTTACATTTGCAGGAGAGAATGCTGCCCGCTTCTTGTTCACAATGTCACCAGAAAGTGAGAACAGATGTTTGCATGGCACTGTTGTAGCCGGTGTCGCAAGATATTTACGTGCCAGATGCACTAAAGATTCATATGACCCTTCATGATTCAACCACCATTCCAGAGGACTTGTAGGACTTGTAGACTCTAAAGTCTTGCATTGTTTTATTTTTGAGTGCAGTTATGTAACATCTACATTTGTAAGTTGCACTTTCACGATAAAGAGATTGCACTATAGTACCTGTATGAGTTGAATTGAAAAATATAAAGTGAGCAGTGTACACTTTGTATTCTGTGTGGTAATTGAAATGAATATATTTGAAAATGTAGAAAAACATCCAAAATATTTAATACATTTCAATTGGTATTCTATTCTTGAACAGTGTGATTAAAATGGCGATTAATTGTGATTAATTTTTTTGAGTTAATTGTGGGAGTGATTAATTGACAGCCCTAAATAAACCCATGATGTCATTGACTGCTGCTCTATAATTATGTTAACTGAACTATCGGCTGAGCGTATTCACAGGAGCTTTCCATTCTCTCCAGCCTATGCGATAAATAACATCTGGATTCTCTCTCCATTGCAGCAGATGCTGAGATCAGGGGGAAGAAGGAGACTCATCTGCAGAAGACTCTCAGGGGATTGGAAGTGCCCAGGCTGTTAGCAGGGGGACCTGCAGAAGGTGGCCTCCAGAGCTCGGACAGGGAATTAGTCTGTCAGGCTCAGTCCAACTCAGAAGATCATCAGGGAAACTCTCCTGGAAGTGGAGTGGAGCCACCCACTCCTTGGCAAAGCAGGCTCACTGCAGCCACCTGGCAATGCTGCTCCCTGGGATGTAAGCAGGTGGCTCCCTTTGAACTCCCTGTGGGACTCCCGCATGTGCTTGAGGGCAGGGTCTGGCCCTTGGATGTCCTTGCTCCCCAGCCATTCACTCCTGCTGAGACTCTGTGTAAACGCATCCAGTGTGAGAAATGGTTCACTCCGCTGCCAGCTGCTGGTGGTCACGGCGGGACGCCCATGGGAGCAGAGACCTCCATGTGCCCCAAGTGCAAGGGGAGCCGTGGGGAGAGCTCTTATCTTAGTGCATGTCAGAGAATCCCCCCAGGAGAGAACCTCTGTATGTGCGCTTGCTGTGAGCCAAGCCCAGCCCAGCCTGTGCCCCAGAGACTCCCCCCGGGAGAGAACCCCTGTCTGTGCGCTCGCCGTGAGCCAAGCCCAGCCCAGCCTGTGCCCCAAGACCCCCCGGGAGAGAACCCCTGTCTGTGCGCTCGCCGTGAGCCAAGCCCAGCCCAGCTTGTGACCCACAGACTCCCCCCGGGAGAGAACCCCTCTCTGTGCGCTCGCCGTGAGCCAAGCCCAGCCCAGCCTGTGCCCCAGAGACTCCCCCCGGGAGAGAACCCCTGTCTGTGCGCTTGCTGTGAGCCAAGCCCAGCCCAGCCTGTGCCCCAGAGACTCCCCCCGGGAGAGAACCCCTGTCTGTGCGCTCGCCGTGAGCCAAGCCCAGCCCAGCCTGTGCCCCAGAGACTCCCCCCGGGAGAGAACCCCTGTCTGTGCGCTCGCCGTGAGCCAAGCCCAGCCCAGCTTGTGACCCACAGACTCCCCCCGGGAGAGAACCCCTCTCTGTGCGCTCGCCGTGAGCCAAGCCCAGCCCAGCCTGTGCCCCAGAGACTCCCCCCGGGAGAGAACCCCTCTCTGTGCGCTTGCTGTGAGCCAAGCCCAGCCCAGCCTGTGCCCCAGAGACTCCCCCCGGGAGAGAACCCCTGTCTGTGTGCTCGCCGTGAGCCAAGCTCAGCCCAGCCTGTGCCCCAGAGACTCCCCCCGGGAGAGAACCCCTGTCTGTGCGCTCGCCGTGAGCCAAGGCCAGCCCAGCTTGTGACCCAGAGGCTCCCCCCGGGAGAGAAACCCTGTCTGTGCGCTCGCCGTGAGCCAAGCCCAGCCCAGCCTGTGCCCCAGAGACTTCCCCCGGGAGAGAACCCCTCTCTGTGCGCTCGCCGTGAGCCAAGCCCAGCCCAGCCTGTGCCCCAGAGACTTCCCCCGGGAGAGAACCCCTGTCTGTGCGCTCGCCGTGAGCCAAGCCCAGCCCAGCCTGTGCCCCAGAGACTCCCCCCAGGAGAACGACTGTATAGATGCCCCAAGTGCGAGAAGAGCTTCTGCTACAGGCAGGAATACACGTGGCACCAGAGAGCCCACCTAGGCGACAGGCTCTATAAATGCAACGGGTGTGAGAAAAGTTTCCGCTCCAAGCAGGAGCTGGTCTGGCACCAGCGGGCCCACGCAGCAGAGAGGCCGTACAAGTGCAGAGAGTGCGAGAAGAGCTTCCGCTACAAGCAGGAATTCACATGGCACCAGAGAGCCCACGTGGGCGACAGGCCATATAAATGCCCCACCTGCGATAAGCACTTTCGCTACCAGCAAGAGCTCACGTGGCACCAACGGAGCCACACCGGGGAGAGGAGCTACAGGTGCCTGGGCTGTGAGAAGAGCTTCCGCTACAAACAGGAATTCACGTGGCACCAGAGGGTCCATGTGGGAGAGAACCCCTACCGATGCCCCACGTGTCAGAGGACCTTCCGCTGCAAGCAGCAGTATGCAAGCCACCAGAGGGCCCACAGCGGGGAGAGGCCCCATAGATGCTCTGAGTGTGGTAAGGGCTTCAGCCGGAACTCAGCCCTTCTTAAACACCAGCGACTCCACACCGGGGAGGGACCTTACTGCTGTCCTGCCTGTGAGAAAAGCTTCCACCAGTGCGCACACCTTCTCAAACACCAGAGATCCCACACACGCAAGAGAGACCGGCCGGATGGGCAGAAGCCTTCTGAGCGGAGGCAGCCCCAGCAAGGCCCGAGCAAGGCTGCAGGCAGAGAGACCCTGTAAACCCCCAGAGCCTGCAGAACGTTTCAGGGGGAACGCTCGCTTTCCTGAGCATCCGGGAGGCCGAAGCAGGAGAGGAGCTCGGCTGATGAACCCAGCATGTGAGAGCCTCAAGCACAAGCTGAAGTTGCACAGTGCCACATGGGAAAGAGCCTGGAAAGGGGCTGAACAGGTGGAAAGCTCAGTGGTTTGAGCATTGGCCTGCTAAACCCAGGGTTGTGAGTTCAATCCTTGAGGGGGCCATTTGGGATCTGGGGCAAAAATTGGGGATTGGTCCTGCTTTGAGCAGGGGGTTGGACTAGATGACCTCCTGAGGTCCCTTCCAACTCTGATATTCTATGATTCTATGAAAGGGCTGTAGAGTCAGAGTCCCTCGGGGACCCCGTGGAAGACACACACATGGCAACAAGTTATAGGTCAGTAGGACTTCTCTTCCTGGAGGTGCTCAGATACTTCGGTGATGGGCAGCAGGGTAGAACCCTGGAATCCAGGGCCCCGTCTGGCTGCTGACTCTGTGCCTTATTGTTACTAAATGAGTAGCTGCTCCTGTGCCCCTGAGGCTAAGGTGTTCACCTGCTCCAGTCCTGCTCCCCACACACTGCATCGTCAGCCTTAAATATGCCAGGAGATCTCCATTGCTGCGGGGCAAACCAACATGTTAATGCAATATTGTGCATTTGGAGGAGGATGTCAATGCCAAGGAGTCAGGACGGTTGAAGTGCCGGGACTCGCAGCCACTCTTGGCTGAGCCCTCTGGATAGCCATAACTCACAGCTGTAGGCAGGGTACTGGAGCGATGATGCTCTTCGGGCTCTCTTCTGGCTTCCACCCCTGCCCCAGATACTCAGATCAAACCGTTTTGCTGCCACCCTGCATCACACGTCAGCGTAAAGGAGCAGCTATGTGAGTGCCTTGCTCACTGTTACTTTGCTCAAATGTTGCACACGCAAGGTAACCGCGCCACCTCTAGAGGGCGATCTCATACTAACATAATGGGGCATTTCTGGTACTTGCCGGTATTTGAAAATCAAGGTTGCTGGGCCATGACCCACCTGTACCCTGCTGCAAAGATCCCTCTGTGGGGAGGTCCTGAGCATTGCAGGGGCTGTGAGGGCTCAAAGCACAGCTTCCCATGTTCCTCCAAGTACAATCGCCTTTCTCACCAGCTCTCTTTCTGCAGCTTCGGCCCTGCATTACTGTGCAGACTGCGATATGGGAGCTGTAATTCTCTGAGCGCCCCCCCTTTCAGAGGGTGCTGCATGCGCACATCGGGCACCTCTGTAAGCTGACGGGGGCTCGGCTGTGATCCCTCCTTGGCCCAGCCCCCTTTGGGGAGTCGAATGCTGGAGCTAGATTCACACAGTCCATCAGCTCCTTCCTGGAAGGGCAGCTGGTGCTGTGCGGAGGCGTTTTGGCTCCCTCTCACCGCGCAAAGCTGGCCCCATTGGGCGTTTTCTTGACAGCATCTCAAACCCTCTTTTCATGCCATAGTCAGAACTTTTCCTGGGGCTAAATTCTGTTACACTGATGTAATTCCAGAGCAACTCCACTGACTTCAGTGGTGTTTACGCTGCTGTAACTCCGAGCAGAATCTGGCCCTTGCCCTAAGATCTTGTTCCTCCCTGGTGTTGCTCCGGGGCAGTGTGGTCAGTAGGAGCGGTAGCCGCCTCTACTCTTTGTCCTGTCTCCACCATCTTGTGAAGCAGGAGAGGTACCACAGGTGACTGTAGGAAATGGGATCTGCCACATGTGGGGGGTCTGGACTGTCCCTTGTCCTGATATGGGCTGAAATCCACTGGATGCATCCAAATCACTGACCCAGAGGCTGTAGCTGGCCCATTGCGTGTTTCCGCCACACCCAGGCTCTAGAAGAGTGCTCCTCTCTCCGGCTTTATTAATTAGAGGATAGTGGGAAGGTGAGGAGTAGGCACTGGCTTGAGACCCAGGAGACCTGGACTCAAGACTCTGTGTGCGCCCTTGGCCCAGTCTCTCTGGCTGTTGGTCCCAGCTGCATAGTGGGGATAAGAGCAGGGCCCTGCTGCGTGGGATGGCTGCGCGCTGTTCTGAGGTACTTGGATTCTGCAGGGATGGGAGCAGGTCAGTACCTAGCCAGATATTCTCCACAGCTTGCTAGGCTATTCCACTGTGCTCGCTGACTCCATAGCATTTCACCTCCCCATGCCCGGTAGGGTCTGCTGAATGGGGTCGCTCAGTGCAAATGCCAATCCACTGGGGTTACCACAGCTATAAATACATGCGACAAGCTTCCCTAATGCCACTTCTCTCATTAAAAGCATTGTTCCATTCTTAATGGCTCCTCCGTGCTGCTCCTCTTGGCGCTGGGCGTGTCTGTCCTCCCCACCTCCCCAAAAAAAGACAGCTGGACTTCAGGAGTGCTTCACCCTGCTCCGTCGCACCCACCAGCTGCCTGCGCCATGCCGTTGCTGGTGCCATGAGTTACTGGGGGCCTCCCGCTTAGGTATCATAGCAACTCGTAATGAACGAGTACCGCACAGCCTTGTGTGCCTGCCCCAGTGACAGGCAGAGTAGGGTTATGTACAGGCCTTTCCCCAAGCGTCGCGTACTGCGGCCTCTTCTCAGTGGTGGAGCTGCGGCCTCTGCTGTGCATTCGATTGTACGCTCGTGGGAGCAGGGGCCTCACCTTCCTGTTTGCCTGTAAATTGCCTAGCACAGTGTGGAAGCTACAAAAATAAATAGTAATAGATAAAAAATATGCCCATGGTACGAAATGCACTTGGGCACAAAGCTACTTATCTCTGTCTCTGTAGCTAGCTCGCTGTCGCGTCAGGAGGAGTGATCGGTGGGTTTCCCTCGTATGCAGCATTGGTGAGGCCATTGCGGGGTACTGTGTCCAGTGCTGGTACCCGCACTTGCCCAAAGATGTTGGGTTGAGAGATGAGGCACTAGAATGATCCGAAGTCTGGAAATCCTGCCGTATGGCGAGAGACTTAAGGAGCTTGAGCAATGTAGTTTATTACTGAAGAGATTATTATTAAAATTGATTGTGGTCAGTAGGCAGAGTCGTCCCTAAGGGGGACGGGGCGGGGAGAAAGTGACGAATCTGTCACTTCCGGGACCGATCATGCCAGCCAATTGGTCCAGCCTGCAGGACCCCCCAAAGCGGGGGGCCCAGAGCGGTTGCTCCAATTCACCGTGCCCAAGGGATGGCTCTGTCAGTAGCTACCTACGTGGGGAGCAGATATCATATTTTAGGGGGCTCTTTATTCTAGCAAGCAAAGGCAGAACGAGATCCACTGGCTGGAAGTTGTAGTTAGAAAACTTCAAATTGGAACTAAGATGCAACTTTTTGACAGTGAGGGGAATTAACCTTTGGAACTGCTTAACCCGGAAGGTGGTAAAATTCTCTCTCACTTGGAGACTTTAAATCAAGACTGTATGGCTCTAAGAGACATGCTGTGGTTTGACCACGAGTCATTGGGTGCAATCTGGCCACTTTCAGAGTAAGGAAAAATAATTGCCTTCGGTAAGAGTCTCCGGCCTGTGTATACAGAAGGTCAGACTAGATGATCATGGTGCCTTCTGGCCTTAAAATCTATCTAATCTATCTCCCCCCCCCCCGCCCCCTAGCCAGTGACGGTGGTGCTTAGGTGCTAAGCACAGGAATGTTAACTCCAGTTTAGTTTTGGCAGGGTTGTAGACTGTGCTCTCCTCTATGTGAGGTTGCATTTCATAAGCTGACTTTCTTCATTAGAATGTTTCGGGGAAAATTCAAGGGGGAAGGAGGGCTCTGAAGCCAAAATATCGCTGCCTTCATTGAGGCAAAGAGATGCTCTTAAGAAGGCAAGACATGGTTTCCTCCTGATTTCATGTGGTAAGGAGTTCTACAGCCAGAAATACTCACATTGGGAGAAGTAATGGCACTCACTTTATCGACACAATTTCCTTTAATCTCATAAGTATCGGCAAGATACTTACAGAACTGTTCTCTTGGAACAAGATAGATCCATCATGAATACATTGTTTCGCTGCTGGAATTCAGACACCTACCATTATCATGTTTTACCTGATCCAGAATTTTTCCCTGGTGGCCAGCTCCAACTTCTCTTTAAGTCAGTTACAAGCCGCTCATCAATTCCAGCACAGATGAGATCAGGCCTTGTATAAATACAGCAGTAAGAGAGTAGAGGAGGGGCGGGCAAACTTTTTGGCCTGAGGGCCACATCGGGTTTCTGAAACTGACCCCACCCTGCTTCTCACCCCTTGATGGGCCCCCCGGGACCCCTGCCCCATCCACCCCTCCCTGTCCCCTGACCGCCCTGGACTCCCGGCCCTGACTGCCCCCTGCCACCCTATCCAATCCCCCTCTCCTTCCTGACTGCCCCCAGGACTCCTGCGCCCATTCAAAACCCCTGTTCCCTGCCCTCTGACTGCCCCAACCCCTATCCACACTACCGCCCCCTGACCACCACCCCGAATTCCCCTGCCCTCTATCCAACCCCCTCACCTGCTCCCTGCCCCCTTGTCGCGCTGCCTGCCTGCTACAGCCACACCGCCCAGAGCACCAGGACAGGCAGCCGCGCCCCCCTGGCTGGAGCCGGCCACCCGCCGCGCCGTCCAGAGACCGGGTCCAGCCGGGCTCTGCAGCTGCGCTGCCCCAGGAGCTCGCAGCCCCCTGCCACGGTGGCGCAGTGAGCTGAGGCTGCAAGGGAGGGAGACAGCAGGGGAGGGGCTGGGGACAAGCCTCTCTGGCCAGGAGCTCAGGGGCCGGGCAGGAGGGTACTGCCGGCCGGATGTGGCCCACGGGCCTTAGTTTGCCCACCTCTGGTGTAGAGTGAGTGATCGGAAAAGCCAGATCAAAGAGAGACCTTAAAAAGAAAGAGAGAGGGAAATTATTGCCCAAACTGTAACTAGGAAGTTGAAGCAGCAAAGAAAGAACTTGGAAAAGTCCAGCAGGACAACTCTTCACGCGCCATTTCCAGCCATTTCCCAGAAAAAAAACGAAGCAAAATCAGTTGGCAAAG